TATTAATTTATTCGTATATTATTCTTTTCAGGTATTACATAATGCTATATGCGTGGTAAATGCATGGAGAAAGATACGACTTGGTTTTATAATTTCACCATTGGACATTATATATCCAAATTGTGTTAAAATGTTGATGCTGGTTACATATTTGTATAATATATTGCCAACATATATTCCAAAAGCTACGGTAAATAAATATCTCGTTTGCATCAGATAATATTGTTAAGATAAGATAAGAATAATAATATTTTAGTTATATTTATATTAAAAAATATTATATAATGTATATATATATATACACACACACTAGAACAATAATGAAATATTTTCTATTATTTTTTAATACATATATATTGGGGAAAAAAATTTTAAACAATATATAAAATAGATGAAATATTTTAAAAAAATGTATAGTTTAATTATATTCATAGATTAAATTCAGCTGTCCCTTGTCTGAAACTGTAACGAGACAAATAAATTTCACAAATCCAACCGCCAATAATGTCGGTTTCTTAATACAATTTTTTTGGAAACAAACATGGATTTTTTACGACAATGTTACCACAATCGGTCATTCATTTAACCAGTCATGGAAGCACAATAATAAAAATACAATTTTATGCTAGAAAAATTAAAAAAACTAAAGGTAATTTTTTTTGTTACAAGAAACAAAATATTTTAGTGTATTTGGTATTTATTTGATATTTATATAGTACTGGTCGAAATTTAATATTGATAAGTAATTATTTATAATTTGAAAAATAAAATCTAACCAATATTTTTGTATAATAATTTTCGATGTACAATATTTATTTCAATCAATTTAAAATCAACTTTTTCAAAGATCTTCTCATTATTCATTTTATTATTTTTCAATGCAATCAGAATTATATCAAGAATATTTTATAAATATATATAAATATAAATATATAATATATAAATATAACAATATATAATAAATATAAAAAAGAAGATATGATTTTTTAAATGTTCAAAAATATGAACATTAAAATAATATATAATAAATTATTTATTTTTAACAGCTTACCTTTTGTTGTGTGGATCGACAATCGGTCCTCATTTTGGTCGGAACCAAACATTTATTTTAGAAGGTCAAGTCGATTGTTTAGGAATTGCAAATGAATATACAATATATAGCAAGCTGTATCAAGCAGTTGACAAAATTTTAACTATTAATGTACCGTATGAAAATTCGATAGAATATGAAATTTGGGCATCGGAAAAACGACCAACTAAACCGAGTAAGTAAACTTATTTTAATAATATATGTTTTTTTTTTAATTACAATTTATTTAAAGATACGTGTTTATTTATTATATACTATATTACTATATTATATTATTATATTTATAAATAAATATCAAAATTGTATATCATTGTAAATAAAATCTTTTGTGCATATTATAGATTATAAATTATAAATATGATGTTACGATAATAAAAACGAATCTTAAGATTGATTGGATTTGTTATATTATTTGCAAAAAATGCTTGCAATAGAGCGACTTGCACATCTTTTAAAAAAAAAATATTTATATAAATTGCAAAGAATAAAAAATATTTACCATACAATTTTTCTTTCTATTTTTATCCTTTCCAAAGTTTAATTCAAATTGAAATGATATCGCAATAAGATGAACGGATTAAGTTTTTTATATTATATAGATATTTTACCTCGATATAATAAGATTACTTAAATTGTTTATAAAAAAATTATTATTTTTATGGATTAATATTCAATTTTCATTATTTTATTATTTATATTTTATTATAATATTCATTATTTTAGTAATTTAGTCCGTTTCATAGTATATAATTCATATAATAAAAAAAATTTATTGATCTCATAAAAATATCTATAAAAAACTTCAACCATCTTTTCTATAATTATCTTATATTTTTTCATTTAAGCTGGAATATAAATAATATTTCTTTATAAAATTCTTTAAAAATAATATCAGAAGTTGAAGAAATTTATATATTATATATAATATATAATTTATATTTATTTATTATTTATATATACAATATGATTAATTATATTTTCTAGGTACCTTGAAACAAACACGATGGACCGAATTATGTTTGAGGAAAATACCTCGAAGATTATTTATAAATCAAAATTCAATTGTTGTCAAGGAAAATATGAAAAAAGCTTTTTTATCAGTTACGGTAGCATGCCTTTCGCCCTGTCATCGAAGCTTTTGGATCATTTTTCAATCAAAAATAGGTGATTTTATCATTCAGGTATGTGCTCATTAGATTATATATTAGATTTATCGGTGTATATAAATAATTTTATATTAAAAAATGTTATATATTAAATATAATCTTAAAATTAAATCTACAAAAAAGTAACATGCAAAATAATTTTATTCAGACATTATGTCATTGTAATTAAATATGATTATATTTTATATTCATATATTTTTATATATGTATAGCTAAATACTTCTTAATAAAAAGATGAATATTTCGCAATAGATTTGCATTTCGACTTTAGCGAATATATATTCCAATATTAATAATTTAAAATATTAAAAAATATGTAAAATATCTCTCTTTGATTCATAATACAGATAAATTCGCATTGGCAATCATCTTTAACTGATAATATTATTGTCAAATGGAATGAACAAATTGAAAAATGCATTTGCACGGAACAGAATTATAACGAAATGTGTCCATTAAATTTGATTGTACCAATACCATCTAGAAATAAGCAACTTTGGAGTTGTGTTGCTCATATGTTTCAAAAAACTCTCAATCCAAAAGAACGATTATTTTGGACTCGATATTTAGGTAATTATAAATATTATAATTATCTATACAAAACACATATAAAGATATTCAGAGATTATGTCAATTTGTAACGATATATAAATAATATGTTTGTTATTGAAATAAGACAAATTGCATAAATTATTTATATTATTAATTTTCAAACATTGAAAAAAATGTCTTTGAAACTTTTAATTAGCTTTTATTAATAGCTTATATTCACTATAAGTGATAGATTTTTATTTTTTCCTAAACTTTCAAAAAACAATTTAAATATACTTCTATTAAAAAAAAAATTACAAATAAATATGATACATAGTTACTAATATATAGTATATAGTAATAGATAACAACAATAAATAAATAAATAAATATGCTATATACTTTTATTACATAAAATATTAATTATTTTTATTAATCATTATATGTATAATAAAAAATAAAGACACGCATATTGGATTACGTTTAATTCGTTGGTTAATGGGAGACAATACAGATTCTGCTGCTATGGAATTTAACCATATATTTGATAAAAAAGTAACATATAACGTAACAATATCCGACACATCACATATTCTTAGATATCCCAAGACGTTTATTATAAATGGTTAGTATACTTTTCCAATATATTTATGAAAAATGATAGATTTATCGTATTTTAAATCCAATATTTCATATATATTCAGTTATAAGTACATAATTTTTATATATGTATTTATACAAAATTGATTAATATTAATAATTATTTTATTTTATTTTATTATCTTTTAAAAATAATGTTTTAGATGTAAGACCCCGTGCAGAAAATACTCCGATAAATATTCATATTTCACCATTTATAGACCGATTATGTGAAATAATATTGACATTAGTCTCTATCAATGGTAATGAGCGAAGGATGTATGTAATTGACTTCTTACATATGTAAAATAGTAAGTTATATATAACTTCTCAATATATAAATAATCAGAATGAATAATAGTTCGATATAACATTAAAATAATAATAATAATATCATTAAATAAAATTGAATACTTAAATATAAAAATATCAAGAAGCAATAAATTTTAGAATCAAATATAATATAATTTCAAATATACGTAATATATCATAGTATATAATATATATAATAATTAATATCTAGTATTAGTTCACGTTCAGATTTTGTGTACATACACGCGCGCGCGCACACACACACACACACACACACATTGTGTACATATTATATTGTGTGTCCCATAATGTAACAACAATATAGAATATACATATAGTAAAATAATTAATATGTTATTATATATATTATAATTATATATATAATATAATTATAAAATATAGAATATATAAAAGATATATAATTATAATAGAATATAATAAAATATAATGAAAGCATCTATATAAAAGCAGAAAAATTTTAATAAATAATTTATTGCGTCGTTTAATTACTTGCGCACATTTCACAATATCCATCTCACAATAAAATCTTCAAAGTTCAAATCTTAAAATTTATAACATTACATATTGAGCATACAAACAATATAAACAATTTGAAATATAATATGATATAATATAATATATAATATAATATAATATAAAAAATGATAAATAAAAATTTTAATTTTCAGATTATTGGCACGATATAGTTAAATTATATATAATTATGTACAAAATAGTAAAATTCAAAGATTATGACTATTTTTTCTAATGAATATATTAAAAATGTTAACATTAAAAGTGTAAATTCAATAGTAATGATTATGTTACAATCATAACTTTAAAATTATATCAAAAAATAATTTAAATTTTTATAAAACTTAATCTATTTTTAGTTTATCTTTAAATTTATTTCCTGCTCCTTCCTATAAACAAAATTTATTATTACATAAAATAATAGTTTTAGTATGAAATACTTTACATTGGACTTACATATTACACATATATGTATAATATTTTTTTATGATACTTTATTTTAATATATATTATATATTGCATTATATATTCTTGTATAAATTGCATTATATAATCTTGTATAAATAAAAATAATTAAATATACAAAAGTATTATTATTTTATGCTAAATATCACAAATTTTTTTATCATCAATTAATACTATATCGAAAATTATAATTATCAAAGGATAACCAATATTAAGAAAAATTACAAAGAGAAAGGTTCTTTTCTTGTGATTTGTTTTTTTAAATAAATTACAAAAATTATATGATTATAAATTATTAGATTTTATTAAAATCAATTAAATTATGTTTATTAATCTTAAAATAATAAAAATTAAGATTTTATAATTATATTCAATTTTATATAGTTTTAAATAAGCAACTTCTTTCTTATTGATCCTTTTTTTGCAAATAATTTATTTAAAAA